AAGAATAGGTGGCTGGAATCCTCCTCTTCCTCTTCACACAGAACACAATTCCTTTCCTCCTCCTCCTTTATGACCCCACGTTTCAACAAATTAAGCTTAGTGGGAATTCTATCAAGTAATACCTTCCGGTTGAAAGCCGCCACTTTAGATGGAAAGCAAGGGTTCCATATTCTTTTGTGCAATTCTGCTTCCTCCTCTGTTTTGTTAATAGTGCGTAGGCTGTTGCTGTTGAGTATTCTCCGTCGTGGCTGTGTATCCACTTCCAATTATCCTTTACTTTTTATATTCTATTAATTAATATCTTTCTAATCAATATATATTATTATTTTTGTTACATTGATGGCATTTATACTATATGTTTTTTTATTTTATATATTTGATGATGAGTTATACCAAAAAAAAATTACTCTTTCAAATCCTTCCCATTAAACTTAAGGTTCAACTTTAAAATTTTTAAATTAAAATCTCAAAATTTTAACAAATTGAACAACTCCTTATAAGATTTATAGTTTATACTACATTTATCAGTTACTGTTCATTTATTGTTGATGACTAACACACGCTGTTTAAAATAATATTTTTCTAAAAAAAAAAATTTCCAATCATGTCGACTCTTCCATAGACGTATGAATGCACACCGTCCCTTTTTTAAAATCAAGATTTCATTTTGCCCTCTAATTTTTTCTTTTTATTTTTTTGGCTTCGCCATTGTAAGTATACTTATGCTGGTTATATGATGCAGCATTCATTTGAGAGTAACCAAAGAGGTGTCTCAGTGAGTTTGAGACTTGAGTTGAGTTATTAAGTTAAAATCTTAAGATAATTGAGAAAAGATTTGAGAAAACATATATAGGATTATATCTCTTTTGTGTGGCCACTCAAGTCATGCCTCCTAAATTTGAGAAGATGTTCCTCGTAACAGGTATACCACATACCATGTTAGTTGTTTTAACATATTTTGACATCTTATTAAAGGTGGATATGCATACCAATTCACATTAGTGCACATGATTGAGAAAGGGTCCTACATTATTATTTAATCTGTATATACATTTAAATTTGATGGGATTGTTATTCCATGTAAAGTAAATACTCGTTACATGGTGTATTGTTAATTTCCATAAAATTGCAAAATTGATTCAATCATAATTTTATTTCATAATAAGATCTTACAATACTAACATGCTATTCAACATAAATAGATTATACATTATATTACCAATTCATGTGTGCATTTTACCAAATTAGAAAAAGAAAAGAAAAGAAAAGAAAACAGTTATTACAACGAAAAACTATTGTGAGATAAGATTTTGAGTGAATCATTTTCCTTTTACAAACATCATAACTTAAACATGACGAATATTGATTGGTATACCTTTCAGTTCAAGATACTACACAATACACTCATTAATAAATTATTATTTTTGAATTTGAATTAAAAGTAGGAAAACTTAAAGTTATACATTTAAATGGTTGAATCGGTGAGTGTTGATTAGTGCATTGAACTGAAGAGTGTATCAATCATTTTTTAAACAACAAAATAATTAGAATTATCAAAGATTATTCAAATTCCTTTCTTTGATTTTGTTTTTTTAATGGCTACAAATGAATGCATATCAAATTAATTAAGGGTTTTATTTTTGATAAGTCAACATATATAATTGACTACTTTCTAAATTAGAAAATATAATCTCTTTGTCCCAAAATAACTGTTATTTTTTTTATTTTTTCTTCACATTAAGAATTTATCGACAACTTATGTATTTACCTATATTACTCTTAGGAAAAATTTAAAGGATAAAAGTAGATTTTTTGTGATAGAATACTTAATTGAAGTAAATGGATAAAGTAGGGCTAAAGCCGAGAAAAAAATATTTGTTTAGTGTTTACCCTAAAAATAAAATACAACAATTAATTTGAGATAAATTCAATATAAAAATGTGACAAATATTTAAAAAAAAAAAGTATATTACAAGAAGTATAATAACGCTACATATGATGTATAAGTATTTATTTATACTCAAGGAGGAACTCCGAAGTTGTTGTTTTGCAATTTCAGACACATAATAGGTATATATTCCATTGAGTTCTGGACAAGAAAAGATTTGTACGATTAAGTACATATACTTCTAACATTATATATAACCGTCGAATACTATGTCTCTTCTTTCTAGCTATATTATAAGTACTCCATACCTTAAGGGGAACTGATCAGAAGAGTATAGCCTGCTAATTAAACCCAGCATATATACGCTGGCGCAGTAAAATTTTTTCCAAATTTGCTTAGTTGTGGATTGGAGGTTTCTTCTTGGCCGGAGTATAGTCCATTGACATGAACTCAGCTGCAATCGATGATTCAACCTCATCATTTTTCGTGCTCACATCGTCATGACTCTTCTGAGCACCAACTTCATTCCTAGCCATAGGCAAACTCCTCGCTGCAAAACACGTCAAATAAAGAAAAAATTTTAGAAAAAAACAACATAATTTTAGGAAAAACAAAATTAGTTTAAGATCAAATTAAGACTCAGGAGATTTACCTCTAGCAGAGATGGAGAAGAAGCAAAAGAGGAGAAAAGCGACGAAAAGAAGGCGCTTGTGTGGAACCCTAGCCATCTTATGAATAGCAAGTTTATAAGAGTAAGTGATGGTTTTCTTAGGTTTTGGTTTTTGAAGCTCTTCAAGTTTGCTCTGGTTTATATAGTACTGCTGGTTAAATAGTAGTTGCCATTTGGCTATCTAGACGTTTGTGGTGTGAAATATGAGTCGACGTTGATTATCATTTTGGTTTTAGTGTCAAAATCAATATGTCTCCTGCTGTCCTTGCATGAAAAGATGAGTAGCACCAGACGGTTCCAATGTAACCATAAAAGGACATGAACCAAAATTGAAACGTATCAATTTCATTTGCCACATCTCGTCGTGTTTACGTGCCCCAGCAAACCAAAGTGGGGAAAACCCTAATAATTAATAACATAATCTTCTAGCATTACTATACAATCATATTTTGAACGAGCTCGAGCCTTGATCGGGAGAGAGCT